TCTCTAGCCTTGTGGTTGGCTAGGGGGTCCTCAAGCCTCCGTCTGAGGGCTGTCATGAAGCAGTTGAAGTTGTGGAGCTCTGATGCATCTGTATTATGGAGACTCACTGTCCAACGTGCAGCTGATCCTTCTAGAGCCAGTGTGACGACCCTGACTTTGGCCCTTTCTGTAGGGAGTTCCCTCCCAAACTCCTGCATGTATGTGTGTGAGGAAAAATCCCAGTTGCTGGGGATTCCCGTTGAATTTGACGCCAAGAGGGGGTGCCTTCCATTCTAAGGTTGGAAGCCTCCTCCTGTTGAGTTGCAAGGCTTGCTTTGCGTCGCGATGTCTCCTGGGCGGATCTTCCATGGTGGCAATAGCAGTTAGACTTATATACCGCTTCATAGGGCTTTCAGCCCTCTCTAAGCAGTTTACAGAGTCAGCATATCGCCCCCACAGTCTGGGTCCNCTTGGAACCAAACGACATGCTGTATGTAATGAATGAGAATTTTTTTATGTTGTCTTTTATGTTAAAAAATTATTTGGGGAAAAAAAAGGAGTAATCAACTCTTTTCCCTTGTACGTTATTGTCCCTTCTCTGGTTTTTTTTGTACACTTCGTCTCTTAGTTGTTTTTTTGGCAAATCTTACATACACTTCTCTCAGTAGCCTATGTCTTCTGGCATAATTGGCATGGACACGGTAAGCCTCATCTATGTCTCCTCTCAACTCTTGTTCCTTTCTCTGTAAAATTTCAGCGAAGATTTTGATCATTTTTCCTTTCAGGTCTTCCTCTTTTTCTTCAACTATGTTTTGGAATCTTAGATAAAATGAAGCTCTTTCGTTTTCAAGTCGGATTATTGATACCTCTAATTCTTTATTGACTTGTTCATCTTTCAACTCCATTTTTTCCATCTTCTGATTTGTTTCTTCTATTTTTGTTTCGATGTTCTGGATTTTCTGTTCGTTGATTGTTAAGGCATTCTGTATCTTTTCAATTTTGTCATCCATGTTTTTAATATTTCCTATCAATTCTCCCATTTCATTTTTAATTTCTTCATGTTTCCTCCTCGTCTCTTCATGATTTGTAGCTATCGCTTCTTGGGTTTTCATCATTGTCTCTTGTATCATCTGGAGCATCAATTGCATACTCTGCATTGTTTGTGCTCCATCCCATTGTTCCTGCCATCATTCCGCCTTTCTCCAGCCCCAATGCATTCTCGATCTTTGGTTTGAGGGTGAGGATGTTGCTGAAATAGGGTTGAATGCTGTTTTTTTCCCCTGACTTCACTATTTAGTACTAGTTGCCATCTTTATCCCTCTATTTATCCTAACCCACAGTTGCATACAGGTTCTACTTTACTTCTACTTTATCAAAAATATCAGTGGTTATATTTCTCAAAATTTAACAATAATTAACCTTTCTTAATATCACTTTTCAATATCTAGACAATCCTATATATTATTCTATTCTATTTTAATCCTTAACTATTTTTTTTCTCTATAAATCTTTTTATTAAACATTCTTGAACAAAAAAACACACTGGGAGGGGCAGGTATGACAGGAGCTACAGGGCTAGCCATTACCGGGGAAGGAGGGTTCGCTACGTCACAGCGATCCCTTGTTCTAGCCCTGAAAGCTCAACTCAGGGACCAGGTGACATGGGAAGTCAGGGCCCTGGTCTCAGGTTGCTGTTGCTAAATGCCAGGTCTGTGNAATCAAGGAGAGAAGCAACTTAGAACTGAGGAGAAATTTCCTGACAGTGAGAACAATTAATCAGTGGAACAGCTTGCCTCCAGAAGTCGTGAATGCCCCAACACTGGAAGTCTTTAAGAAGATGTTGGATAGCAATTTGTCTGAAAGGGTATAAGGTTTCCTGCCTAGGCAGGGGGTTGGACTAGAAGACCTCCAAGGTCCCTTCCAACTCTGCTATTGTATTGTATTGTATTGTATTGTTTGCTTAATGATTGCCACCAAAAATGATGAAAAAAAATGGTCTGGTCACATGTTGCTTCAAATTAGGACTGCAATGATTTCCAACCATAATTCTGGGCTCAATTATGGTCATAGGTTGAGGACTACCTGTATATTTATTTATTTTTTAAAAAATTTTTTACAAACATATAAATGCGTGAACAGTGTGGCACTTGGGTGTCATACATTCTAATACAAATAAAACTAATTAAATTAATCATAATTATTACATTCAGCCAACTTACATATTTCTGATAGTAATACATATTTATATTAAGATGCAGTCTGTCATTATTCAATTATTCCATGTTTTCTCTTGTTATTGCTTTTATTTTATTATATAAAAATGTATACATTAATATTCCCCCTTTCTCTTATTTCTATCTCTTATTCTAACTTTTAATTATGTCACCCTTTATTAAAAGACATTTTCTTTCTATCCTACCTAACTTCTAGTCATGTCACTTACCTAAAAAAGGAAAGGAGAGAGAGAGAGAAAGAAAAGCAAATCAGAACAACAATAAAGAGAAATAATCTATCCATAGTCTCTTGCCTGCTTCAATATTTTAATTGCTATGCTTTTTTTAACTTGCCTCCCATATTCCTCTCTTGGATCGTTGTCTCTGTCTGCATCTTCTTTTTGGCTGTTCAATCTAGGTATTTCTCCCATCTCTACCCTCCACTGCCTAGTTTCCAAAATTTCTGCCCAGGCCCCTGTCTCCCTTTTGAAAGTATCTTCCTGTATCGCCAATTCTCTTTTCAACTCTCTTAATATATTTTCCCCCGATTTAATTAATCAGTCACTGTTATTTTCATTGTTATCTCCTCGTTGACTTCTTTTATTCTCTGGTTCTTCAGCTTAGTCTTTTCCTCCATTTCTACTGTTGGCTCCTCCCTTTCCTGGGCATCTTGGTCTTTATGCATCATCCCTCATATAGTATTTTCCATAATAATAATAATCTCCTTAAATCCTTTCTCCATAATGTCCTTTGTGTTTTGAAAAAGTAACACCATCTCCTTCAAGGTTCCACTCATTTCTTCCTTATAAAGCATCTTCTTTTATTTTAAAAAGTTCAACTTTCGTCCAGCAGTCCAAGAACTATTTATTCAGTCCTTAAGTTGCCCTTTAAGGAGTGCACTAATCACAGTTCTTTGTATCCCATAGGTAAACATTCAATTCCATTTAAATAGTCCCAGAGGTTATCAAAAGCCTCTTTACGTCCCCTTTACAGGTTCAATCTTCTAGCATAACATTCAGGGGTCCCTTTCATTAAATAGCTTCCTTATTTTCATATTTTAGACTCCAGTAGTCATGGGGTAGTTGGGAATAATCCAGTAGATATTTTCACAGTCCTTCATATAAGTATTCCCAGACTTGTAATTTTTCCTTTCGTCAGCAGATGGCAGTCTCAACTTAAATTTCAGTATTGCCACTAGTCAATCGTCATTTTAGTTGCAAATCAATTATAAAAGCAGAATAAGTTTTATACGTAAATGATTTCAGCATTTTAAAAATGCCTTCCCAGTACCACATCTTCCCAGTTTACGAGTCCAATTTTCTGTATGTTTCGAGATTTATTATTTTTCTCTCTTGGGTCTTTCCCTTCCAGTCTGGTATTTTCTCAAAATGCTTAGATGCTGCATTAACAAATAATTCTGAGCAAATAGTTCTAAGTTATTCATTGGGGTTAAGTTTAAGGCAAAAAAGAATCCTCTGCCCCAGTTCCAGTCACTGTTCACCTACTTCGTTCCAGCACCAGTATTAGTTGTTCCTTGGTCATCCCAGCTTTGTGGCAGCCATCTTTAGGCTGTCTCTTCTCCTCACCATGGCTGAGAGGGGAAAAAAACCCGGGTCAGACAGGAGAGCTGCGACTCTCCGCAACCTCACATGGCGCCCCTCTTGGCTTCACCACCCCTACAAGGTGGCTTTGGCTCCTCTTGGAGCCCACAAACAGGTATAACTCAGCACAGGGAATGCGGAAATCCCCGGACTACCTGTATATTTCTTATGCCCATGGATTCATTACTGAATTTTTGCAAGTTATTATAGGAGAAAGAAATATTAAAGTAAAACTATTTAATCTTACTTTAAAAATCAGTAATAAAGGTATTCTTGAGAGAATAAAATATTTTATTATCGACATAGTGTAAATATGTGTTTCCCTTTGCAAGTTAAAAGGATACAATCAAATTAATTCTTTAAATGTTACAAGATTGTCTTAATGTATGTGCTATGCTAATTGAGTGTAGAAACATAGAAAACTGATGGCAGAAAAAGACATAGTGGTCCATCAAGTCTGCTCTTTGAGTTTTTTTACTTTTTAAAAAAAAATATGGTTTGTCTCATAGTCAGCCAGATGTTCAGGCTGGATTTGGCATTTTTATCCACCTATCAAGTCCTTCCCAAGGACCTGGGATAGGCAGATGTTGCTGTTTTGTGGTGTTAAAGGTATCGGTGCAGGTTGTAAGCTGTTCCAAGTAAAGCTGCCTTTCACAATTGATTGATGGTGAATTTGTCTATGCCAATGGTGTTCAAGTGGTGCTCCAGTTGTTTTGGGATTGTACCCAAGGTACCTGTGACTACTGGTACTACCTTTGCTTTCTTTTGCCACAGTTGTTCTATTTGTATCTGCAGGTCTTTGTATTAGAAATACAAAATAGACAATAAGTTAATTATTTTAAAAAAATATTTTAATTTAATTTTTGTCAGATGATGGAAATGTGTTTATCCCAAACATGTTTTTACACATATTCCAGTGTTGCTACTGTAGTGAAACTGTTATTACTGTTTTTCCCTGAATATAAGACAGGGTCTTATTTTCTTTTGACCCCCGAAATAAGCGCTTGGCTATATTTTCAGGGAGGTCTTATTATTTTTGAGGTGCAGGAGGCAGCGAGCATGGTCACCTCATGGCTGCTGCTGTGTTGCAATATTTTCAGTGAGGGCTTATTATCTGGGGAGGTTTTATTTTCGGGAAAACAGGGTAGTTCATAACACTTAATCCTTCTGGCAAATACTAAATTATCTTTTGTTTCATCTAATAGAACTTTCTGCAGAAGCCAAAGCAGCATTACTTGAATTTGAAGAGCGAGAAAGACAACTAAAACAAGGACGGTATGGCTCCCGAAGAGGAGGAAGACGAGGAGGGTCATTAATGTGTCGGCTGGGAGAACAAAGAAGAGACAGCAATGAAAGGGGAAGAATTGAGGATCACAGGCCTGCTTTACTGCCAACTCAGACAGCTGTTATGGTACCCTGAATGCAGTAGTGATGGGTTGGATTGGGGAATTAAAGTAGTGGAAGGCTTGCTTGGGTTTAGCTCCTTAAATGTGAATGCTTGATTCAGAGCCTTATTCTGAAGACTTTTAAAGTTGGGAGAACTGGGTTTTATCATCTGAAGATCTGTTTTAGGATTTGTGATGGTTCTACTCTTGATACTTCTTGCAGTTCTCCATCATGAAAACAGAGTAATCTTGTTGATAAATGTAGGTTTAGAATTCTGAATTGTAATACAGGTAGTCCTTGACTTACAACCATTCCTTTAGGGACTGTTCACAGTTACAGTGGCACTGAAAAAAGTGACTCATGACTGGTCCTTAAATTTAACTACTATTGGGCCAGCATCACAACCATACGCACGCGAAGCTTCGGGGCTCCGGAGGAGTGGCAATATCCTGCTGTTTTGGGGACCCCTTTGGAGGTCAGATCTGTCTCATAGTGATGGTGAGGAACAGGGGCACTGGCAGACGTGAACGGGGGCGCCGCAAACCCCCTGGAGCGTCTGCAATAGCAGCAAGGAAGACAGCCATTGTGAGCTGTCAAAGTTGGGGACGGCCACACAGAGAGGGAAGAAAGCGTGCTGTACCGTCTGGGTGAGATTGTGATACTATCATGGGGTACACTGTATTCAAACAATTTTTTTTACTCCCTGATTGACTGAGAACGTAAAAAGAGAAGGCAAAAGGGGGGGGGGGTGTTAGAGTGGATTCTTGACTCTCTCCACCCCCGAAAGCAGCGGCGGAGAAGCGACTGCTAATACAGATAAATGGTTTATTAAATACTTTGGGGAGGATGGTTTGTATAAATAGAAAGCAGATTGGATAGAGTTGATTGCTATTGAAACTTTCAAATTCTGATATTGTAAGAATCCGGAACTCTGAGGCTGCTTTTGGTCTTTTTTTTTCCTTACTCATTTTTTCCATTAACAATAGTGCCATCTAGTGGCAACAGAGGGAATACGAATGACCTTGGACAATGCTTAGTGACTTGGTAAACAGAATGGTGATAAAAATTATCTCCTAAGAAGACATAACACCAGCTGTGGACTTACCTTTTGTGGAATGTTTTTTTCTTACTTTTCTGGCTCCAACTTTGGAGTTGTCAGGCCTGCAGTCATATTAGGATCTTTGGCCTGCCACACTCACTCTCTTTCTTTACTATGTTGTTTCATTAGTGGGGCAATTGGGAGGGGGAATAGTAAAGAGTAGAATTGTAGAATGTGTTGTCAAAATAAAACATTCCTTCCTAGAAGCCCAAGGTCATCTTTTGTCTCTGCACCTCTGCACCTGACCAGAACTAGATGGGTGGAAATGCCAGCGTGGCAGAGGAAGATTGGACCATGTGATGGACTTGTGGGTGTGGGGACAAGANTCTTTGTATTTTAAATTTTTTAGTATTTTTAAATTGTTTTTATGTAAGCCGCCCAGAGTCCTTCAGGATTGGGCGGCATAGAAATTCATTAAATCTTGAATCTTGAATCTTGATTGCACTTCCAGCAGGCTGGTGAACATTCCAGAAACATTCTTGAATATATTCTCCCTGTATGCCGTTGCCATTGTTAATTTATAGTTAGTTTCCCAAAGGTTTTCCCATTCTGCCAATTCTATAGTATATCCAAAAGTTGTCGTCCATGTTATCATGGTCTCTTTAACTACTTCTTCCATCTTAAATCTATATAATTTTATCTAATTATTGTGGCTCCTTATAGAATCTGTCCATTTCTTGATCTTTTTTGTACCTCATCTGTATTTGTAGGTATGGCCACCAATCTATATCTATTCCCTCATTTTTTAATTCTTGCATTGTTTTTAATCTCTCCTGGCTGTCTAATAAGTCTTTGTTATCTTATTATTTTATTTATATCTAATACATTCGGGTAAATTAATGCTTCCATAGTGGATAACCAAATTGTGATTTCATTGTAGTGTTTTCTTTTGATTTTTAGCCATGTTTGAAGTAAGGCATTTCTAATTTGATGCCTTTGAAAGTAGCCATGAGTTTTGTCTTTCTTGTCCCATATAAAGGCATGCCAACCTAATTCTAAATCATGCCCTTCTATTGTTAATATTCTCTTGTTATTTAAATTTATCCAGTCCCTTATCCAGGTGAGAGCTGCTGCCTGATAGTAGAGCTCCCAATCTGGGAGTCCAAAACCTCCTTTCTCTCTACTGTCCTGTAATAATTTTAGCTTAATTCATGTTTTTTTCCCTAGCCAAATAAATTGTGTTATTAATTTGTTTAGATCTACCAAAAAATATCCCTAAATTTATTGGTGTTGCCTGGAATAAGAACAGGATTTTTGGTAGGACGTTCCATTTTGACTATGGCGATTCTTCCCATTAGCGATCTTTGCAGTTTTCTCCAATTTTCCAAATCTTTTTAAATTTTCTGTATTGTTTTATCATAATTATTTTCTTTAATTGTTGACCATTTCCCTGTCAGACAAATTCCTAAATATTTTACCCTTTTTACTATCTGCATTCCCATAATTTCTTCTAATTCTCTCTCTTGTTTTTTGGTAAGATTTTTTGTAATGATCTTTGTTTTGCTCTTATTAATTTTAAGTCCCGCTACTTTGCCAAATTCCTCTATTTTTTGAATTAGTTTGGCTCCTGTTTCTAATGGCTCTTCTAAGATGAATACTATATCGGCTGCGAATGTCTGAATTTTATATTCCTCCTTTTTAATTTTTGATCCCTTTATTTCTTGTTTCTTTCTAATTTCTATTAATAGAACCTCTAATGTTAGGATAAATAATAAGGGTGATAATGGAAATCCATGCCTTACTCCTTTCCAAATATTAAATTCTTCTGTGACATCGCCATTTATTATTACTTCTGCTGTTTGTGTCAAATATATTGTTTCAATCATCTTTATAAATTTATCTCCAAATCTCATAGTTTTTAGCTGTGCTTTAACTGCCAATTCAGATTGTCAAAGGCCTTTTGGGCATCTAAAAAGACCAATGCTGCTTGTTTCCCTGGGTGTTCTTCATAGTATTCTAGTGTATTCATAATTACTCTCATGTTATTTTTCAATTGTCGTTTCAGCAAAAAAACCATTTTGGTCTGCATGAATAATTTCGTTTAATATTTTTTTTAGTCGTTCATTATCGATGTGAATATTTTATAGTCTGTGTTCAGTAATGAAATTGGTCTGTAGTTTTTTATTTGTTGGTGGTCCAAATCTTCCTTGGGTATGAGTGTTATATATGCTTCCCTCCATGTTTTGGGTAATCTGGCTTCTGTAAGTGCTTCGTTGTACAAGTCTAACATTACTGTTTCTATTGGCTCTTGTATATTTTTGTAGAATTCTGCAGGTATTCTATCCGGACCTGGTGTTTTGTTGTTTTTCTGTTTCCTCAATGCTTCTGTTAATTCCATCATTGTAATTTTCCTGTTTAACATTTCTCTTTTCGCCTCCTCGATTTCTTGTAGATTATTTTTGTTTACATATCGGTCAATATTGTCTTGCATTATGTTTTCTTTGTTATCTAATTTTTCAAATAAATTCTGTATTATATTTTTTTTCCTCCTTCCGGTATTGTATATTTCCTTTTTCATCCTGTAATTGATGTATTATTTTTTCTCCTTTCTTTTTTCAATTTGTGCGCTAACCATCTCCCCAGCTTATTCACATTTTCAAATAAATTTTGTTTTGCAAATTTAATTTTCTGGACTATCTCTTCTTGTGCCATCAAATTCAGTTTATGTTTTATCAGTTCTCTCTTTTCCTTTATTTTTATTTATTGTGGATCTTTTGCAGGTCTGCTTCCAATTTTTTAAGTTCTTTCTCTAGTGTTTCTTGTTTTTGTCTCTTTTCCTTTATTTTTCCTTGCCGAATATGCTGTTGTCAGTCCCCTAATAAATGCTTTTGTGGTGTCCCATAAGTTTTGTTGTGATGTTTCTTCTTTTTTATTTACTTTGTAAAAAAATTTCATTGTCAGGCCTGCAGCCATATTCCTTTTGGATCTTTGGCCTGCCACACTTTTTATTATTCTACTATGCCTTTTCTATTGTTGGAAAATGGGAGGGGGGATTGTACAGAGTTAAATGCTATGTAGCCAAAATAAAATTCCTTTCTAGAAAGCCAAGGTCATCCTTTGTCTTTGCACCTCTGCACCTGACCGGAACTGGATGGGTGGAACTGCCAGCACAGCAGTGGAAGATTGGACCATGTGATGGACTTGTGGGTGTGATGTTTGTTAATATTTTTATTGTTTGTGGCCCTGAAAAGAACCTTTTAGGTAGCCAAACATGGTTACTAATATGAAATTGGCCAGCCCTTATTGCTTATCACCAGGCGGCATCGCTTCGGTATAGACTGTATAAGCCTTTGCACGTGATCTTTGGTGACAATGTGGTGCCAGGCTGCAATAATGGATTCAATCAGCTCCTGCTTGGTCTTTGGATACTTCTTGTTTATTTCGTAACCAATCTTGGCCCACAAATTCTCAATTGGGTTCAAATCCGGGCTCTGAGCTGGCCAATCCAGGAGTTGAACACCATGCTTCTTCATCCACTGTTGGACAGACTTGGCTTGATGAAGTAAAAGTCCTTCCCTACAAGTTGCTGAGCTGAAGGAAGCATGGTCCAGGACTTCAACATACTGCTTGGAACGCATGATTCCCTGCACGATTTGTATCCGACCATTACCAGAAGCAACGATACAGCCCCAGATCAACACGTGCAATGGATGCTTCACAGATAGATTCAGGAAGTACAGCCTAATTTCTTCA